TTACAGGAATGTATACATTCATTTCTAATGTCTCCGAGGTTGCTGTCCTTAAGAGAACAATTTCTTACCTGCTCAGACCATTTGGAAATTTTTGATAAAATTGTCCAAGTAATTAGACCTCTAATTGTCGCCTCAAAGCCTTCATGCACAGGCACACAGTGCTATCAAGGACAGTTTGATACTCAGTGTGCTACCCAGAAACATAGTCTGGCAGGAGCAATAAGGAGACTGAGGCAAGAGGATTCATAAGAAAATTACTCTTCTTATATCCAACAGTGCAAGGACTATAAAAACCTGCTATGGCAGAAAAAAGAAGAACATCTAAGGAAATCTTGGTTAGAGCTAGGGCTGGCAGCCTTGAAAAGAGATACAGCTAGGTTCTAGTCATTAGTTTCAAAGGGAACCAGGACTTATCCTGGTGCTCTAGACAATCAAATTAACCTCATCACAATGGCAAGCCTATTTCTCAGCACTCTTTAGACATACTACTGCTGGGATTGATCCTGAAGCTGAGGCTCCAATACTTTGGCCACCTCATGAGAAGACTCCCTGCAAAAGACCCTGATGTTAGGAAAGTCTGAAGGCAAGAGGAGAAGGGGACGACAGAGGACGAGATGGTTGGACAGTGTCACTGAAGCAACCAACATGAATTTGACCGAACTCCAGGAGGCACTGGAAGACAGAAGGGCCTGGCGTGCTCTGATCCATGGGATCACAAAGAGTCGGACATGACTTAATGACTGAACAACAAATGCTGGGATTAAACCAGAACCACTCTTCAGTCTGAACTCACTCAATCTTTTATTGTGCCCTGACTGGGACCCAGTCACTCCAGAGAGAAGAAGTACTGTATTTTTCCATGTATAAAATGACCATTTTTCCTTAAATAATTTGAGAAAAATTGAGGGTTGTTTTATACACAGAAGGCAGCTCTTTATGAAGCCCCGTGCCTTCACCTTTTGGGAAGGCACGGGGCTTAGCAAAAAGGAAGGGGAGGCGTTGCTCCCTTCGTTTTTGCTACGCTCAATGACTTCTCAAAAGGCAAGGGCACACGGGACTTTAGCAAAAAGGAAGGGAAAGTGTTGCTCCCTTTTTGCTAAGCTCCGTGCTTTCTCAAAAGGCAAGGGAACACGGGGCTTTAGCAAAAAGGGGAGGAATTGCTCCCTTCATTTTTGCTAAGCTCTGTGCCTTCTCAAAAGGCAAGGAGATGCAGAGCTTCAGCAAAAATAGACACCAATATAGACAGAAGGCTGTTATTTTTAATTCAGGTGCTTCACTCAAATACTAATCTTAGGGTAAGGCTTGGGGCAAATGGGCTAGCTGTGAGAGACAATACCAACAGATAGAGGAGTTTGGCAGAGGTGTTTGTTGGCCCCCTTTCTTTTCAATTTCTATATCAATAACATTGTGCAAGAATTCAAAAGTCTCTTTTGAATTCTTCCCACCTTCAATCAGGGATATCAAGCTTTCTATTGTTTTATACACAGATGATATTGCAATGGTTTACACTACATTAGTTGGCATGCTAATACTCTTGGTTAAACTGAGCAAATTCTATGTAAGAGAACATTCTGGTCATCAATCACACGAAACCCAAAGTAGTAGTCTTTGGAAATAAGAGAAAACTCGCACATGAAAGCTTTATGAGAAAGCTGTTATGAGCAGTTACGGAACTTTAGATATCCTGGCCTTTGCTTTAATGCCCAACTTTCATGGAAAGTCATCTGAAAGCAATCAGTCTGAAAGTATCCCATTCCATTAAGTCTCTTTTGCAGTTTACCATAATTAATGGGGGGAATTTAGTTGACCCTGCAGCTGAAGTGTTTGCCAAGTAAATAGTATCCCAAATAACATATGGGGCAAATATATGCGGATATATAAAGACCCTCACTCAAGAAGTGATTCAAAACTCTTTCATGCAATCTCTCTTAATGGTCCCCAATGGCACAACTGCTGCATACTTAAAGACTGAAGTAGGATTAATCCCAATTGAAACACATTTCCACATTGCACTGGCCATGTATTGGTTGAAATTGGCCTGCATGAGTGGTTCTCGCTTCTGAAAGAAGTGCTACAAAGAACAGCTCCATCGTCCTTCTCGAAAGTACTGGGTAAATTTAGTTAGACCCATTTTACAGAACTATGGGACTGACACGGATTCCTTGCCCACTCTTGCCTCTAATCAAGCCAAGTATCTGATTAAAGAAAAAAATAGTTTTCATTCTAAGTGGCTAGATTTGTGTGCCATCTCACAAATATCCTATTCTCCTTTTTTATTATTTTTATTATTAGACTTTTACCCCGCCCCCCTAGACAACATCTACTTGGTGCGGCTTACATGGATAAAAACACAACAATATGACAATACAGTGGTGCCTCGCTTAACGAGCGCATCGTTTAACGATGAATCCGCATAGCGATGTCGCAATTGCAATTGCAAAAGTGATCGCATTGTGATGTTTATATAAGGAAAAACTCGCATTGCGATGATCGGTAAGCATTTCACTTACTGATCTTCGCATTGCAATGTTTACAGAACAGCTGATCGGCGGTTCCAAAATGGCCGCCAGACGACCCAAATGGCCACCGCAAGTGTTTATGCACCCTGCCCTTGCTTACCGACGGCGTGAAAATGGCGGCGCTATGGAGGAACATTGCTGAACTGTGAGTTTAGGGCCCCATAGGAACGCATTAAACTAAGTTTAATGCGTTCCTATGGGGTTTTTCGATCCGTTTAGTGATGTTTCTGCATAGTGACGATTAATCTGGAATGGATTAACGTCGCTATGCGGGGCACCACTGTATAAGAATCATCCAATACACAATTTTAACACTCATTGATTCCCCATGCACAAAACATTGGTTTGGAGAACTATTTTGTTTATCTAAGCTCGTCCCCTTTAAGAAAAGCATTCACAGCTTTGCATTTTCAGTGTATGCCATCAGTCATTTTGAAGGGGAGATACAATAATGTCCCATTATATCAAAGACTCTGTATCTGTGGATCAGGAGAGTTTGAAGATGCTTTTCATTATTTATTAAGTTGCCCTTTATATGAGCACCCCAGAAACTTCTTGCTGGCATTCTCAGATTACTGTGCAATAGAACACACACACCCCGACTGAAATTTGTACACTGTTTGTAGTAGGGATGTAAGTGCTACCTATCAAGTAGCAAAATTTGCTTTGGCAGCAAAGAAAATACGTGCCAAACATAAAGTCTTAAGAAAGAAGGGAAGTTATGTCATCTGGAATTCATGTATAGATATACGGAGTCAGTGCAGTTTTGTGTTGCTGTTCATATTGTGGTCACTTGTGGTTTTAAACAATAAAGCTTGTTCTGCATTTAAAATATATAAACAGATCCAAGTGCTTCACTTAGAGGGAAAAGCAGGACTGGAAAATTAAGAATGAATGTTTGACATTTCAGGCACAGACTTTGAGTAATGTCTTCTGTTAAAATTCAGTTATAATTCTGTTTATAAACTTTGGCAAACTTGGCTGTCTCTGATGCTCAGGTGTTGGGTCATCTCTTGACTTCTTCCCATCTGCAAAGTCTACTCTGCTAATAGTCACCTAATTATTACACTTTTTGGCTCAAAGTGTGCCTCACAGCTCCTTTCTCTTCCACATACATCTGGCTGGGAAAGTGGAAAATGTCAGGAGCCAACAGAAGAGATCCAAGAGTTTTGACAACCAACCTACTGGCATCGAATGTTGGTTTGTAAGGTTATGAAATAATTTTCCTTATAGAAGGACCATTGCTGCAATCAGCATAGCCATAAAGCCACCCTAGATTGCATGCTGTTTTGTGATAGATGTATCTGGACCACAAATAGCAACCCAAACCACTGTGGTGCACTAAATCCCCATAAGGGGCAAATTGCACTCGGTCAGAGAGCTCGTGTGCTGGGGCAAGTCCCAGGACCTCAGCAGTGCGTAGCGTAAGCCCTTTGAACAAGTCTGACCTCAAAAGAACACTTTACTTTTACCCAGTACTTTGCACGCACAGACACATGGGCTTTGTGATTCCTTAGAACTCACAACAGCTCAGTTAGGTAGGACTCTTAAAGATAGCTAGTTTGTGGCCCTCTCCACCTTCTGGATTTAGCCAGACCCTGTTGTTCAAGAGGCCAGTCCTTTTGTAGAATTTTTATAATTAATTTTTATTAGAAAAATAGAGTTTCATTAGAATCAGTTTATACTGCACAAGCTTTAGCATAAAGAACATATTCAAAGATCACTGCAATTAAATAAAATAACTATTTCCCATTAAAATAAGAAAAAACTACTAAGCTGAGCTAAGGTGGGCTATAGCAGGCTAGCCCCACCTCCTTCTTTCTCCTTTACTTACATCCTTTCTCAATCAAGTTCTTTTCTCACCCATCATCATGGAATCGAAATACAGAACAGAACAACACATGAACCACTGAACCACTTTCACATAACTCATCGTCCATTTTTCTACACTCTAACACCTCCCTTCTTGACAATTCTGGCTGTTAACCAATTAGCCTCAAGGGGCTGTTACATCTTCCTCCTCCCTTAATTCCCATGAGAGTCCAGGTGTTTTATCTCTTCTCCAATTAGCTCAGAATGTTGAGTCTTCCATGGGCCTCTCAATTTGGCCTTCATGCTATCTCGAATCAGGCTGTAACAGTCCTTAGAAAAACACTCCCATGGCACTTAGAAAAACACATTGCAATGTCTCTCAAATCATCTTCACACAGAACCTGTCTGACTCCATCTTACATTTCTCTGACTACATATTCCATCATCATGACAACCACAATATCAGCACTTATGGTTAGAAATCAAGCTGTGCACAGTAAGGGAGATGCTCCATGAAAAGAGCCATATTATCTTTTTAAAAGAGAAAATGGATGCAGATCTCCAGATAAGCCAGCCACCCTTTCTTCTCTTTCATTCAGTTTTTTATATTTAGCTTTTCTTAAAATGCATGTGCTCTAAAAGTTAATAAAGTCTTTCTCTCTATTACAGGAAAATATAAAATGCACCATTGGTGGCAATAATACAGACTACCGGAGAACACCGTCTGATGAAGACTTGGGCCGCCATCCTCAACTAGTAAGCAGTGCTTAGCTTCTGCACTCCACTCTACTGGCAAAAAACATGTTAAAGTTTGTGGCTCTGTGTTTACAGAGAGAAATGCAGGCCCTAATTCTGGTTTAGTTTTTTAAAATGTGCAGTGTCAATGAAAGATATTCCACATGACATTTTCCACACAATAGATGCTTCATATGACAGAAGCAGAAAGCAGAAAACAAAGTCAGAGAGCAGAGTGACTTCAATTCACTTAGATTGAGAGCTACTTGAAGTCAGTAGCCCCAGAGATTCAGATGGTACTAAAGGAGAAAACTCTAAGGAGACTAATCAATCCAGCAAGCGTGCCCCAATAGGTCAAAGCAAGTCTGGGGATTCATTTGAGCCCAGTAACCACATGCTCAGCTTTGTTTACTGTTCTGAGCAAATATTGATAGATTATACTGGATNGTATCAAAAACAATGCCAGAGGAATGCTTCTGAGTGGAGGCACTGGCTTCCAACCATTTCAGGCAGAATTCAGGCTATATCAATCAACCCTTATTTATTTTTTTAGATAGGAAATGGCATGAATTCATAGCATTCTGTCCCACTGACTTCTCATTTATCTTTTCTCCTCCCCTTCCCAGAACTACAGTAATTCTGATGTAATATCAATAGACTGCAATGTGAATCTGGCTGCCAATGAAGAAGTCCACCTTCTCTTGTATGGATATCTGTGGATGAAGTCACTGAGTGCTGTACGTTCAAGTCAAGAAACGGTGGTCTTCCCTATGGTCCAACTCAGACAGACAGCAGATTACTCTCACTCCCTAGTTAGCCCCCAACTCCAGGAAATGCATAGATGAGTTAGTTCCTGACTTCTGTTTTCCCCACCAATTTATTTAACCTTTAGTACCATATTTTTCGCTCCATAAGACGCACCGTTCCATAAGACGCACCAATTTTTTAGAAGAAGAAAACAGGAAAATGTAATCTGTTTTCTTCGCTCCATAAGACGCACAGACTTTCCACCCCCCTGTTTTGTGGGGGGAAAGTGCGTCTTATGGTGCGAAAAATACGGTAATTTGTATCTTATCCCAAACCGAGACTTAGATGGAAAACAAGACTTTTAACTAGAGCTAGTGTTGATTTGGGTTTAGCAGACTGGAAAACAAGACTTTTAACTTCTGAGTGCCAAATCAATGCAGATTGTTTAACATCACAAATGTTCAGGGAGCCAGACAAAATTAAGAAGAGCTGCATTCTCCTTGGCACCAAGATGACTGCTAAAAGTCAACCCTTGACATATAATATTTAGCAGATTTGAAACAAGACTATGGGTGTGATTACACTGACAATTAGAGCTAGTGTTGATTTGGGTTTAGCAGAATTAAAATAAGGTAACATACAATAAAGCACAGCTTTTTTGTCTGGGGAGCTTCTTTTTTTGACCGGAAGGTAAGCTAAATACTCCTCTGCAGAGACAGGAGGAGGAGCATCAGGCCCCTCTGCCTGGGTCATCTGCAGTGACCCAGGTTTGCTCTTGCTGCTTCTCTCAATTGGCTCTTCAGTGGCAGCAATGCCTGGTTGCTGCTGCTGAGCAGGTGCTGTGCCACCCAGGTTCCAGGCTGTTTACATGAGGCCATGCTAATATCAATTTATAACCATGTGACTATCATGTAAATCAACCAAAGAACACCAACACACATTGTGTTGTGTATTATTGACATACAGGCCCTATGCTTTAAAGGCAGCATGTAACTGGCTTGTGGAAATGCTAACAACAATAAGACAGTTCAAAGCATGAAGAGCTTACTCTTTGTCTCCCACACAATGTTAATCAAATCACACCCACCCATTCAAAAACAATAATTAAGACGGCCAGTCATGAAAATTAGACAAGGCCTCCTCTTTTCCTCAGTCAGAGAGAACTGGTTTCACAAAGAACTTAGCAACAGAGTTCTAAATCCCTCAAAGACCAATTACAAGTTTTAGAAAGGAAAATGCTTCTTAGATCAGTCTGTACCATATGACTTACTCTGGCGTGTATCTTGCCAGTGGCCTCTCGCTACATCCTATATACTATTTTAATTCTTCCCAAGAAGCTGTGGCACCTCATGCTTTGGTCACTGTCAAGAGAACGTTGTTTTCTTAAGTCATGGTAAAGGCATCCCTGCATAACCAAATGATGTTCAATCATATTTTCAACAAATTCCAATGTTAAGACACACCCCCTCCATTCAGTTAAGACACTTCCCCATACCAGGAGAAAAGCGTAAATAAAGTATGACAAGAAAAATATATACAGTAGACCCTTGACTTACAGACGGCTTGACTTACAGCCTTTTTGAGTTACAGACTTCTCTGGCTGCAAAATTTAGGTTTGACTTGCAGACTGAGATTTGACTTACAGACCAGAAAAAAACCAAAATGGAACAAAAATGGCCTGTTACGGGATTAATCGGTTTTCAATGCACTGTAGGTCAATGGAGACTTGACTTACAGACTTTTTGACTTGAGAACCGCCTTCCAATACGGATTAAGTTCTCAAGTCAAGACCCCACTTTAAAGTGAAGATTTTTGTAAACCACATGGAGAGACCACAGACAGTAGAAAGAATGTGCCCTTTCAACAAATGAGCACATGAACCCTCAGTTAGGTCAAGGGCAGTGCTTCTTGCTTGCCCTGATATTGAAGTGGTTGAATAGGCAGTCGCTTTTCTTTTTCTATTACCTAGAATACATTCATTGTTGGTAACTGTGTTGGAATCTGCCATTGACTCTCTCTTGTTCACTCCAGCTGAAATTCAAATCATTGAGATTCATGATTAACGCTTCTCTGCAAAGAGGGTTTCGCAGTGCCTTTGTCTTTAGAGAAGAAGATCCTAGCCGGCAGGTAAGCATCTTGACTATGGCAAACATATACTGACACTGGTGGCTTTCACTTCAGAAAGGTCAGAACCTCCTTGGTCCATTGATACTGGGATGTTTGCTTCTAGGAGCATGGTGGGATAGAGGGGTCAGCTGGATTCCTTTAGAAGAAAATTATTTGCTTTAGAAGAAAATTACTTGAATTTGCTTGCTCTTCTTTGTGATGTCTGTGAATCCAACAAAGGTTGGCTTGTACTTAAACAGAGCTATGTCTGGAATCCTCTAGAGCTGAGTAGCTCTAGGTGGGAATCTTCCCCCGCCATCCCAGGTATGGCGTGCCCTAGCACCTTTCACTTCAGTTGACTTTTCCACTGCTGTACTGGTAAGACTGAAAGGAATATTCTTTGAAGCACTGTTCATAAATCATAAATAAAAGGCCGACCACCTTTTCTTTGCAGATTTCTTTTCAGATTTCCTAATTTTGTTCCTCCATTTAAAAAAAAAAAGGAAAGAGTTTTTTTCTTTCTTTCCATTTTTGTTTATGGCCTTTATGGCCCTTTCAGAAAGTATATGTGAGGAAAACAGCCTTTTCATATAGGACAGGGGTGGGCAATTAATTTCTATAGAAGCCACATAAAAAATCTGAACTGTGTTCGGGGGCCAAACCAACTTTACTTTAAAATAAAATGAAATAGTGATGTTACGATTGTTTTTATTTTAAACTTGTCAATCTTCAAAAATACTGAAGAGGTTTTTTGCGGTATGCTAAAGATAAGCAACTGATCAACATTAGACAAAAAGCTATAAATGGTTTTGGTGTTCAAAACTGTCAGTGGGCCGGACAGGAGCGGCTCACGGGCCGTATGTGGCTCGCGGGCCGCACTTTGCCCAGGTCTGATATAGGCCCAACATATGTTTATTTTCTTTGGGTGAAGGACATCTTACCCAACGTTACAGACTCTTGGCTTTCCCAATGAAGCAGAAGAAATGTCTGAGTGCTCAGCATCTAAGAAAAGACAGTCCCTGCCTGTCCTACCAGTCAACAGGTTCAGTGCTAGATCTGAGAAGGAAAACATCTCAGAGCACCTACCAAAATCTCCAAGGAAGCCCAAGAACTCCACACAAGGAAGTACTCCAAACCATAAGATTAATACTATAAATAACTGCCCAGAAAGGTCTAGTTCATTACGCCTGAAAGACACCCTAGCAGAGTCGAACAGTATTGGAAGCATCCCAAATGATTCTTAACTCTTTGAACAACTCAATCCCTATTAGCAGCCACTCTGAACAACCAACCCCCCCCCCCCGAAAATAGTGACAGTTGATATAAACTATGAACCCTCCACCAGATCTAGTGTGGCTCAGCAAGCAGCTCTCTCGATCAAATCACTCAAGACACTTTGATGGAGCAAGCTGATCACCGTGGCTGCTTCTGACAACAGAGAGCCCTAGGGAATTAATTGAAATGTGTCTCTTGGAACATTTCTGGTTGGTCCAACAAAAGATGTGACAGCTCATTCAGAATGTATCTTAAATCCTTTGATGTCATATTCCTACAGGAAACATGGTGTACTGGGGATATGTCATTCTAAATTACTATAAAACATTTACAGTCCCTGCCAATTCCTCTAGAGGTCTGGGGCGAGCCTAGGAGGGCCATCCTGCTGCATAGCGACCTCACTGAAAAAGAAAAGCCAGTTGATGAGTAACTTACAACCACGGACAATGGCAATACCTTTAAAGTTAAACCTTTCATTCTATGCTATGATTAATGTGTATATTCCACCTTGGAATTCAAACTATTATTGTGAGAACACTTGGGAGAAGCTCTCAGGCTATTTACTTGATTTGAAGATCCCATTCCCCAAAGCACATGCAATTATGATGGGTGACTTTAATGCCCGTATTGGCCCAAACTGGGAATCTTTCAGCAAACCATCCACTTCAGTTTAGAGGAATTCCTATAAATGAAAGACAGACATTCTAGGGGTCATTCACGCTACAAATATTCAAGGGAAGCTCTTTATACAAATGATTTTGCAGGTTGATCTCTATATTTCCCGAAGGAAAACCAAATGGGGGAGCTCAGCTTCATCAACCAGATGGGTACCACTATAATCAAGTACATTGCAGTCTCCTCATTCATGGGTAATTACCAGCTTCAGAGTAGGAAACTGCTTGACCAGACCAATTCATACCTTGGAATAACATTCAAAAGTTCAGGAACACAAATATTTTATTTGGTAATGACTTAAGAAATGTAAAGAGATGTGGTGGCGCTGTGGGTTAAACCGCAGAAGCCTCTGTGCTGCAAAGTCAGAAGATCAGCAGTCGTAAGATCGAATCCACACGATGGAGTGAGCCCCCGTTGCTTGTCCCAGCTCCCGCCAACCTAGCGGTTCGAAAGCATGCAAAAATGCAAGTAGATAAATAGACACCACCTTGGTGGGAAGGTAAATGGCGTTCCATGTCTAGTCACGCTGGCCACGTGACCACGGAGGATTATCTGCGGACAAAACGCTAGCTCTGTGGGTTGGAAACGGAGATGAGCACCGCCGCCTAGAGTTGGACACGACTGGACAAATTGTCAAGGGGAACCTTTACCTTTTTTTTTCCTAAGAAACTTAGACTCATATTCAGTCCGTTTATATGGGTGTTCATCATGTGTATAAATTGTATCTCAGCTGTTTCCCTCTGTATTCTTAATCTATAATATTTCTTGGTTGAAATTGTAGGAGACTGGTTTCTGTGTATTGTGGATTCTTATGTCTGATTTGTGACCATTGATCCATTTACGTAGAGATTATCCTGTTTGTCCTACGCAGAGTGCAGTGGGGCACTCTTGGCAAAAGATAGCATAGATCACGTTAGCTGAGGAACAAGTGAAGGTGCTCTTGATGTTATGTGTTGCATTGTTACGTCTTGTGACTGTATTGCCAGAATAGATGTGTGGGCAGAGTTGGCATCTGGGTCTGTGGCAGGGTTGTCTGTGTTGTTTTATGATCCATTGTGTCTTAGTAGTTGCTTGAGGTTGGTGGTTTGTCTGTAGGCAAGTATAAATCTGCCATCAAGAGCTTTGGAGAGTGAAATATTATTGTCAAGAATGGGCTGAAGATCACTTAAGCTGTGTGTGAGTGGTCTCAGTTGTAGACTGTGACAACTAGTAGTGTTCTGTTATTTTGTCTTCTGGGTCCGTCTTGCAGTAAGTTACATCTGAGCATCCATTTCGCTTTGTTGATTTGTTCCTTAATCATATGGGGTTGGTATTGTAGTCTGAGAAATGCGTTTTGTAGATCCTTGAGTTTGGAGTCTCTATCTTATGGGCCCGAGCAGAAGCAAGTGTATCTGAGGGCTTGGCTGTACACATGTTTTCTCTCTCTTCGAAAACATCTCAATTTTTAATGACCATGATATGTAGTTGTTTTCATTTAGCTTCATTAGAGGAAATCCTCCCAATAGCTGCCAAGTTAGACTATAGCTTGGAACTTTAAATTAGTTTCCTCCTGTCTCTAGCTGTCCTCTTACCCCTCAGGCTTAACAAGCAGGATGCTCACCTTCTGTGGACCTCTGAAAGCTCCCAGCACTTTTGTACAGCTCCCTCAGGACCCACAAATCACTCACCAGTGACTCACACGTTCTTTTGCGCAGCGGAAGCGTGCTGGGTCCATAACCTTACTCTAGCAGAATGTCCTCTAGCAATTTTCCAACTCTCCACAATACATGTGTGTCCATCCCTACGTACAATCTATAGTACAAATGGCAAGTCAGGTAACATTATCTCATCCTAGGTGATCTCGTATGATCACCCGATCTAGCCAGGAGGGGCGACTGAGGAGCCTAACGCCGAGGGAGGCCCAGAAAGAAAAAAACAAGACACCGGGCCTTCTCGGCAGTGGCTCTCAGGCTCTGGAACACACTCTCTCTCCCCCCGAGATTCGTCTGGCCCCCTCACTGGACATTTTCAACAACCAGCTCAAGACCTGGTTATATAGACAGGCCTTCCCTCCAGGTACCACGTATCTTTTTCTCTCTCTCTTCATCTTTATCTACTCTGTTTTGTGTAAATGTTGGAAATTGTTATTTCATATTAATTGTTTTAAGCTGTACAACATACCTGATTAACTACTTCTTTATACATTCAGTCTGTCATTTTTTTTCTATTACAAACTTTGTAATTTCCTGACAGTTTTGTTATGTGTGGATGGATGGAAGCTGGACAAGTGCAAGTAGCTATATTGATCAGTGGGTCTCCTGTACACCGTGGTGCTAAGATATCCATGTTGTAGCTTCACAGTGGTGTCTAGAAAATACACCTGTTGCATAGATTGTTCCAGGGTGATGTGAAAGTTGGCTGAAAGTTACTGAAATCCAGGTGGATTTTTTTCTAGGAAGAACTGTGTGTCCAGCCGTGCACCAAACTGAAAAGAATGGAGGACTAGTGCCCTCTCCTGGCACCCACCAGTAGCTGTGAGAAGTATTTGTCTCGAGTGCACTTACCTGGAGTTATTTTGATGTAAAACACGTCCTCTCCCTGCTGCTTGTGAAAGTTGGCTGAAAGTTACTGAAATCCAGGTGGATTTTTTTCTAGGAAGAACTGTGTGTCCAGCCGTGCACCAAACTGAAAAGAATGGAGGACTAGTGCCCTCTCCTGGCACCCACCAGTAGCTGTGAGAAGTATTTGTCTCGAGTGCACTTACCTGGAGTTATTTTGATGTAAAACACGTCCTCTCCCTGCTGCTTGGATGCAAAAGGAGCCAAATGCTGGAACTTCAATGGAAGGAGCTGATTGTTCATGCCTTTACTTTATTTGTGTTGCAGATCACATTTGAAATCTCCAAGGTAGAGGAATCCCAGATCCCCATTTGGATCATTATTGGGAGCACATTAGGTGGCCTACTCCTCTTGGCACTACTTGTGCTCGCATTGTGGAAGGTAAGTTCCTCCCCACCACCACTGCCCACTGGGGTGTGCCAGAGACGATGCGCACAGCTGCTCTAAAGAATGTATACAGTCTAACTGGACATATTGTAATCGCTGCAAGGATGCACAGCCATATTGTGACCCCTTTTTATCTTTTAAAATCAGCAGTTTGTTGCTAAAATACTTTTCTGGGTAGATTTTATTTTAAATGAAAGATTTATAGTGCTATAATGTAAAACCTCCCTTTCATAGAATCATAGAATAATGGAGTTGGAAGGGGCCTATAAAGCCATCAAGTCCAACCTCTTGCTCAAGGCAGGAATCCAAACCAAAAGCAGATCTGACAGATGGTTGTCTCTTGAATGCCTCCAGTGTTGCTGTGCTTACCATTACCCAAAGTTACATTGTCATTCTGCTCTAATCGGAGGCTTTTCCTGATATTCAATGAAAATCAGGGTCCTGTAACTTAAGCCCATTATTATGTGTCCTGCCTTTTCTCTGTATAACAATAATTATTGCTGAAATGAGAAATGCACAAATCCATTATGTGTCCTGCCTTTTCTCTGTACAGTATAACAATATTTCAAGTATTTTTAATTATTGCTGAAATGAGAAATGCACAAATTCTTTCCCTAAAAATAAGCATTCTTACATTATCATGTTATAACATCCAAATACAGAAAGTAATGTTACTCCTATGGTTCTCTTTCATGAAAAACAAAGATACACCAAAGTAAGTCACAATTAGAGTAGGTCTGTTTGAATCAATAGAACTTAGAGTTAATTCCTGAAATCCCCATTGATTCGGCGGGCTTAGTCTAGAGCAACTTACCACACTAAACAGGATTTCAGCCACTATATGATAGTGGCTTCATCTCCATGGCTGAGTTTTCCTTCTTAGCTATTACAGCTCCATTCAAACCAACAAACCTGACTTTACCATACCCCAACACTAGATAGAGGTTACAAAAGAGAGAGGTTACAACAGAGTCTACTCAATGACAATTTTGCTTTGATGTGGCAAGACAATCCCAAAGACTGCTAATGAAGTTACGTTTGCTGCACCCTGCTCCATGTACAGACTGTCAACTCTCTGACAGGGGCCCACTTTTGTGTGCAACTTCAAGAGAACTGAGCTCCCCAACAAATCACCATTTCATCACACTGTCTTCAAAAGGGGCATTGGTGTTGTCAAGTTTGCTGTACCCTGCTTCAAGAACAGATTGTCAACTCTCTGACGGGCCCACTTTTGTTTGCAATTTCTGTCTTCAAAAGGGGCATTGGTGTTGTCACTGACACCTTTCTCAATCATAGGACCACCAGTCTCTCATTGCTAAGTGCATGTATACAATCACCTATGTGAGAGTCACAAAGACTCCAGAGAAGAACAGTAACTGTGGTTCTTCGAGTGATTTGATTAGGAATCCTTCAGTCTTGAGAGACTATGGTAATGTGCTCTAACTTGGAACAGTGTCTAATGTGGCTCAGAAGGCCAATTCGAAAGTGACAATCCCTTCCACACTGAAGACAAATACAATCTGTCCCCTGTCCAGCTCCCTGATTTTGCTGGTTTGGGGACTGCCTCTTTGCCTCGGCCTGCTGGACAAGGGTCTCTTCAAATTGGGAGAGGCCGTGATACACCGCCTGCCTCCAGGCTGAACGCTCAGACATCAAGGTTTCCCATCTGTTGAAGCTCATTCCTTCCATTCCTAAGGCCTCCAGACCCCACTTGCAGATCTCCTTGTATCACAGCTGTGGTCTCCCTCTGGGGCGCTTTCCCGGCACTAATTCTCTATACAGGAGATGTTTTTGGAATCTGACCGTCAGCCATCCTCACAACATGCCCAAGCCAATGTAGACATCGCTGTTTCAGCAAACTCACACAGCTTGCCGTCTTCCTCTCAGCCATTATCAGTGACTAGTACTATGTTTCCTTTGCTTTGCTGCCTGTGCTACAAAGCAAAGGAAACTTGCCATCTTCATCTCAGCCATTATCAGTGACTAGCACTATGTTTCCTTTGCTGCCTGTGCTACAAAGCAAAGGAAGAAGCTGATGGGAAACATGGAAGGCATACCTAGACATGGACATTGAGGGCAGGGGAAGGACCATCATTAAAAGGGTCTAACCTCCACTTTATGAGTTTTGAACTGCTCTGCAGAGGCACTAGTTCTCTACACAGAACTGGTTGTGTATCTGAGTACACAGACAATAATTCAGAGAATCAGTTCCACACGAGCAGCCAGTTATTTTGAAGCATCACATTGCCTACATCAAAACCCACCTTTGAAAAATGTCAGAGAAACAAAGTCCTAACCTCAGAAGAGATTCTTGCTGATAAGTATTTGTTCTTTATATATCTTGAAAACTACAATTGCTGTCTTGCCTAAGGAAACAGGTTCACTAATTTAAGAGGGGATTAATGAGCAGAAAATCCACGGATGAAGTCTTTGCAGGTCTTTGTCCTCCTTACTAGTTCATTCATTACTATTTTAAAAACCTGAATATTTCTTTATTCAATCTTAGGTTTCTGTGACATTGTTGGTACGCTGGGAATTAATTCTTATTAAATAAAATGCAGTAACAAATTCTCTACAAAAGGGAGGCAGTGATATCTACTACGTGTGTGTAAGGGAGGGAGGGGAAAAGACATTGCAGAAGGAAGCTACTTTTATCAAAAGTGTTATTAATACAAGCTATTGAAGTAACAGTAGGTTTTTTTTTCTTTTTACATCATCTTGTATCTGCAGCTTGGCTTTTTTAAAAGTACCAACCGAAAGAGAGAAACAGCCCAGGACCAGAACAGCAAGGATTTGGATTAAAGTCTCCACTTGCCCCAGTGACTCAGTCATCTGCAGAAGGCCATATTTTGTTTGGTGTGAAGGTCTCTGTCTGCATTGATCAATCTCCTGTCACGAAAAACAACCAAGCCACTAAGTGTTACCTACAAAGATTGAGATGCAGCCAGCTAAATGTACTTCAAACTGGTTTTATTTCCTTCTGCCTTAAGACACGGGAAATACATAAGGAGTGGGAGGGAAAATTTATAGGGACAGGACTCTTCAGTGGTAATGTTATTCTTAAAAAATGACCAACCTTGCAAGAGTTCTGGAAACAGCAATCCCAGGCCTTTCCAAAAGATGCCCCTTGTCTTTTTCTTGAGGGGAAGAGGGTAGGATACAGGAAGAGGAAAGCTTGAATCCATTCATTTACTACAATCAGCAGACACGAGGCAACTCTGCCATTCTTTTTTTACTGCAAATATTCAAGACATCAAGGGAGAAGGAGTCAGATTGGCGCATTCTTCAAAAATAGCCTTCAAGGAAATATGTTTCAGGACAAAGAGTTGCATTTACAATGGGATGCAGCATTCAAAATAATTTAAGGCCATGAGATTCTTTCTAAACAAAAAGACTTTGTGAAAGTTACTAAAATACAACCTGCACCCACCTCATAACGCAACCTGAATAACCAGAATTAAACAGAACTTAACTTGCAGATGGGCACGCATTGGCCTGTTCTCTAGGCATCAGTTGTTGTAAGGCAGGAAGTATGGCAAGGCAAGGATCACACACTGATAAAGTTACCAGACTGTTTTCCTGTGAATCAGTAAAATTACAGTTATAACTTTGACACATTCATCAAACTTCTACGAATGAGCAAACCATGCAGTCCACTGGACACTTCTGTGTCTGAGCTTCCACTCATTTCAAAGGACCTGGTGCAAGAAAAGTGCCCAAAGACACATTGCCTATCACATCCAATATGCCTCTTTACATGGAGCAGTTGAAGATATCTTAATTACCTTCTTATAATGCACTGAACACAAATACAGACAATTGTAAGCACCTTAACACAAGCCTTCAGTCTTAAGCTGTATATACTTATTTTGAAAATGTTTACCTTTCTTATTGTTAAAGGTGATTTTAAGAAAAAAAAACCCAGTTTGAAGTGTTTTTTCACAAGTAGTGCAATTGTCAAAATCAACAAAACAGGAAAACATGTATTATATGTATATACTTTTGTATGATGGGAAAGTTCCAATCTGAAAAAAAAATTCATAATAGAATTATTTATGCTACTATTACTGTTAATAGTAATGACTGAAAATGAGATGTCTCTTCAGCTGAATACATTAACATAAATAAAATGCTGTCGCAGTAGTCTTTTGTTTAAAAAAAAGAAAACTAAACTCTTTTTGAAAAATGAAAACATTGAGGTACTGCAATTTGACTATGTCCTTCTACTAAGGAACTAGGTATTTGCCTGTTCCATTTAGAAGAAATCCCAGTCTCTCTCCAATACACACATATGTCGGTGCAAATGATCTTCTCGCTGAAGACTTGTAATGCCTGCTGACAAGTTACGTTCTTTCTAAAAATATTAGTTGTCAAAAAGGAATACTTCTGTGAAGTTGTGGGAATGTGAAATTGCTCTCTTCTGAAAGGAATGCAAAGATAAATGGATCAGAATTTGTTTCGGAAATCTCCCAGAGGACTGGAAAACAGCATGGCTCAATTCTATAGTCTTAACTGAAAGCTAATTATTATTCTGCACAACTGTTGAATCTGAGTTTAGGTATTGCTTTCTAAATTGAAAATCTACAACCATTTGAAACCAAAGTGCCACACAGGATACTGTTGCAGGGTCTCTATGAAATATGCCTACATTCCACCAATCCTTTCCTCTGTGTTCCTAATGGACAGTTGCAATCTGGGTGAAATAGGGAAGGAGGCAGAAGCAGTAGTTCAGGCTGCTCTTAGAGAGCTGCATATAAGGCCTTAGAATATAAAGAATAATGCAATCTAGTCACTGTATAAACAAAGAGATGCCTAAGGAAATCCACAAGGTAAACATGAGTGTCAACAGTACCCTTCCACCCACACTGCCCGGTGACTAATATAAAGAGCCAGAGGGCTTGTCCAGATTGGCTGTTCTGGGCTAGAGGTCAATCGGGCTACAAAGAGTCTGTTGATGTATGGAGGTGGAGAGATGTGCCACTCACTCCTCCTGTCCCCACAGCAAACAACCTGTGGCCTGATCAGATAGCAGTTAAGTGGTTCCCCTGATCCTCTACAGAGGGTCCTTTTATCTCCGGCTACAAATCTGTACAAAGGATTACCCATGAGTACATTCACCTGGTTTATTCGCAAGTAAGGAGGCAGCAGCAACAGCAGCCAAGGATAGCTGCAGCGCAAGGGGATAACCTTGGGGGGACGGTTGGGGAAGCCAGAAGGGAGGTAACCCCTCCCCTTTCCCCTGCCTTTCTCCTCAGCCAGAGCTCTGCTGGAGCTGTGCTGCCTTGCTGGGGGCAGAGCCCATGGAATCAACGTAGGCTCCTTCCCTGCCATTTCTTTCAACCAATCGTTCAGTGGCTTTCTTTTTTGTTTTTTTTTAAAGTAAGTAGCATATTGAAATGGCAATGCATGGAATTGTTTTAGAACATCACTGCATCCGTTAGGGAATTACCTAGGGTGTATGGTTTTTAAGACAGCATCTTAAAAAGCAGAGATATCACCTTGCCAACAAAAGTCCGAATAGTCAAAGCTATGGTTCTTCCTGTTGTGATGTATGGAAGTGAGAGCTGGACCATAAAGAAAGCTGACTGCCGAAGAATTGATGCCTTTGAATTGTGGTGCTGGAGGAGGCTCTTGAGAGACTGCAACGAGAACAAACCTATCAATTCTAAAGGAAATCAACCCTGAGTGCTCACTGGAAGGACAGATCCTGAAGCTGAGGCTCCAATACTTTGGCCATCTCATGAGAAGAGAGGACTCCCTGGAAAAGACCTTAATGTTGGGAAAGTGTGAAAGCAAGAGGAGAAGGGGACGACAGAGGATGAGATGGCTGGACAGTGCCTGCAAAGCAACCAATATGAATTTGACGCAACTCTGGGAGGCAGTGGAAGATAGGAGGGCCTGGCGTGCTCTGGTCCATGGGGTCACGAAGAGTCGGACATGACTAAACGACTAAACGAACGAACGTATGGTCCTAATCATTCTGGGGGCGGATGGAAGGGCAGCAAGATAAATAGGGGACAGATTGTATCTAAGGTCTCCAACCCTGTTGAGTGATGGATTTTCTATATGACCCCTCTCTCAATCCACCTATCCCCTCTGTCTAAAATGAGTACATCCCAATATCAAAATGAGTACATCTCAATATCAAAAACTTTTATTGGCATTAAAAACAAGATTATACTTTCCTATGTAATAAGATAAATATGGTCAAGTTGTAACAGTCAGCCTAGTTTATTACAATAGCAAGATATTCAGCTATACGTTCAGTCAAATCAGGTTGTTTATCTGCTAACCTCATTAGGATTAACCTCTCAGGGGAGCCAGAGAAATTTGAAATAACAGAGCTAAGTAGTAATTGATGGAGATCGCTAAATTTAGGGCAGTAAAAAAGAATATGTAAAATTGAGTCTGGTTCCACTAAGCAGTGCTTACTCTGGTGGTTCTTAAAGGGGATGTTACAATATCTGCCAGAAAGAACAGCTGAGGTAAATATATTAAATCTGGCCAGCATAAATGCCCAGCGCCACAGTGGGTTGATGAGATTGGTGAAATAATTGGCACTGGTTACAGACAAAGGGGACAAACCATAAAAATGAGGAGAGCAAATTAAATTCAAATCAGCTGCCTGAGTATGAAGTTCAATGTCCCAAATTCTTTGGTGAATAATATGGTAAAGTTGTGTTTCTCCACGATTTGTCAGGGAGTTTAGGTTATAAAGGCAATAAAGGCAACAAAGAGCTTGCCATGGAAATGAAGATATTTCTCAGCTAGAAACATGAGAGTGAGTGAGTGAGCGAGCATTGAGGATCCTACTTGGAAGCCCACCTGTTCCTTACCAGGCAGGCTAAGATCAGTCATCCATTCCAAGAGACATTTCGCTAGACGTTTAACATATATTTTACCAAATATTGAAAGTAAGCTAATAGGGCGGTAATTAGCTGGTATACTTGGATTGCCCTTTTTAAACACTGGAATAATGATCTCTAAAGGTCATTTTAGGGAGACTTGTGTCTCTGAGGCACAGTGAGCGGGGTGGAATTTGGTGGGTGGGTGGACCCATCACTCCTTTTCCTTCTAAAACTTATTGGGAGGGTGTCTCTGAGACTTAGCTGGGAGGGCTTTCTTTGGACTTTTTTGGCTTCTCTGCCACAGTGGGTTGGGGGGGTTCCTAATTACATTATACTGAGCGGGTGCTTTGTTTAGGCAGGCAAGTCACATTTTATTGAAACAATTACACCACTATCATTCTAAAAATAAAGTTTGCGCACACTCTCTGACCCTCTATTTCCTTCCTCAATCTCTGTTGCTTTATTTGTTTAGTTGGTTTCTTAGGCAGGCAGTAGAAAATGAAGGGGGCAATCCAAGGGGAAGAAGGCTGTGATGCAATGCAGGCTAGGTAGCAGCACCGTCATCATGGCCACCACGTGCACAACCATGCCTACGATAACCAGTGCTGCCACTGTCCCTCCTCCGGTGGCCTTGCAGGCAGGCATGGAACCAAAGCTTCCAGAGGTGTCAAAAGAACTGCCGCTCCTCTTCCTAGAGGAATCTGGGGAGTTACTGGTTTCCAAAGATTGGAACCAATAACGGCAGGACAGGCTTCACAACCCCCCACCCCACCCTGTCCCCAGAGTCACCTGTTCCCTCCTCCCAGACCAGCAGCACACCAGGACAAAGAGTTCTTCCCAGGCCAGGAGTCAGGAGCAGGCAGTGGGTCCTCATTTGGGCAAACATGGCAGAGGGGCCATGTGGGATCATTTCCTGGTGCTCAGCGATGACCCACAGCTGGCATGCTGCAATGCTTGCCTTGGCGGTGGTCCGGAGGGAGCCGGACCCCAGGCATCTGTCCTCCACCGCCCTCCACCAACAGCTGGAGAGGCCGCACCCAAGGCTCTTGTCCAGGGAAGGCACTTCGTCTGCTCCGTCTGGGAGAGGGAAAAGAGCAGCTCCAGGGGAGGCAGGAGGAGGGGCCTCTTTTCAAAAGGGCAGCCACAGGGGTTTCTGGGGCCAGGAGCATAAGGCAGGCCATGCTCCACGAAGTGGCACCCGCTGGGTCCGCCATGACCCTCAGTTGGCGGTCAAA